TATATACTTCAATGAGCAGGTACAAACAAGGTCAAAACAAATGAAAAGAACAGAAATTGAGATACGGTGAAGAATCGAATAGAAATTTTAGAACCGAAGAATACAATAACCAACCTAAAAAACTCAGCGGATCGGCTCATAGGCAGAGTGGAAGAGAACGGAAGGAAAGATCAGCTAACTTGAAAATAGAACGTTAGACATTACCCATCTGAACAACATGGGGATAATAGACCAAAAAAAAAAAAACAAAAACAGAAAACAAACAAACAAACAAAAAACATATGCGACTGTAACAAAAGACCTAACATTTGTGACATTGAAGTCGCAGGAGAAGAGAAAGAGGGTGGGGCTGAAAAAATCCTCGAGAAATACTGCCTGAAATTTTCCCTAATTTGACAAAAGACACAAACCTCTAGATTCAGGAAGCTGAACAAACCCCAAACAAGATAAACTCAAACAAATCCATGTCAAGACACGTTACAATCAAACATTTGAAAACAAGACAAAGAGAAAATCTTGAAAGCAGTAAGAAAGAAACAACACCTTAACTACAAGGGAAAACAATTTAAATGTCAGTGGATTTCTCATCAGAAACCATGGAGATTATGTAGGAGAATATATTTACTCCTACAAGATTCACGCTCAAGTATTTAGAGAAGTGAAATGAAATCTGTGACTTAAATTTAATGGTTCGGGAAAAAGTGTAGATAAATTGATAGAGGAAATATAACAAGACATCACCAGTCGTTGACTCCGAGGAAGATCTATAGGTGCTCGTTGTACTATTCTTTCGACATTTTGCATGTTTGCTAACTTCCATTTTAAAAAAAGTCGGAGAGGGTATGTGGAGGAAAGATATGTGATAAAGTAAGTATAAAACGCTCATAAGAATCTAGACAGCAGTTAGGTGTTTGTTTCCTGCAAAATTCTTTCAATTGTCCTCATAACATTATATTCAAAGACGTCTAGGATGCAATAAAAAAATAATCACTCATCATACCGGGAACCAGGAGACTCTCAACTTGAATGAGAAATAATCGACAGATGCCAACTCCAATGTGCTTGAAAATTTTCATCTTAAAAATCTGCTTGTCTTTTTTTCCCACAGCATTTATCATCATACGTACTGTATAATTCATTTATTTACCGTGCTAATTTTTGTCTGTTTTCTCACTAGAATGTAAGCTCCCCAAGGGTAGGGATTTGTTGTGGTATTTTGTTGTTGTTGTTGTTGTTGTTGTTGTTGTCGTTGTTCTGTTATCTGCTATATCCCTAAGGCCTAAAATAGTGTCTGGCATGTAGCACGTAGCCGTGTCTGGCAGGTGCTCAATGAATATTTGTCGAATTAAGGATGAATTTCTGTATCCTTAGGACCTGCGTCAAGGTCTGGCGCAGAGTAGGTGCGCAATGAATGTCGAATTGAAGTGAGATCTAAGTTCTGCAGAAGAGCTTAGGATAGACCTGTAGTACCACAGTGGTCCAGAGCATCGACTCGGGGGACAAATGGCCGGGATTTGCATCCCGATTCTGTCACTTCCAGCTGTGGTACCCAACTGTATTAATCCCTCCGAGCCTCAATCGCTCATTGGTAAAATGGAGATAATAACAGTAGCACGTTGGTAGGGTTTTGGTTCGCGTGCTAAGCACTTAGGACATTGTAAAGACTGAAGGATTGGTAGTTAATGACAAAATGAGAACAGTAAAACTCATAGATACAGAGAACGAACTGACGGTCACCAGATTGAGGGAGATCGGGGGGGTCTAGGCGAAGAGGGGAAGCGATTAAGAAGCACAATTTGGGAGTTAGGAAGTCGCCACGGGGATGTGAAGCAGCTTAGGGAATCTATCGTGTCTACGGCCAGGTCGCCCTGAACGTGCCCGATCCCGTCTGATCTCGGAAGCTAAGCAGGGTCGGGCCTGGTTAGTACTTGGATGGGAGACCACCTTGGAAACCAGGTGCTGGAGGCATTTCGAATAAAATAATACTGTAATAACTATGTACAGTGTCAGGTGGGCACTAGACTAATCGGGGGGGATCACTTCGCAAGTTACATAATGTCGCACCGCTATGCTGTATAATATCCAATGTCGATTGTACTTGAGAAATAAAAAACAAAGAACGGCCAAAAGACAGAGTCTTGGCGGCCTGTCACCCTTCCTCCATACCCCAGCAGGCTGAGCCCGGAAAGGCTAACCCCGAGGCTTGGGCAAGGATTCTCAAGTTCTTCTTCGCCCCCCAGAGCGGCTTCTCTTACTTCAGACCTCTTGTCGCCTTTCCTCCTGTGCTGGACAATCTTTCCTCCCGGCATCCTGAAGCGCTTTCCGCCATCCTAACCACGAGGGAGTGCAGTGGAGGACACGCGAGCCTGCGGGTCGGGGACAAGAGCTTAGAGCGCCCCTTCCCTCCCGTTGCAGGCTCCATGCCCTCACTGGCGGTGGAAGCGGGTTCAAGTGGGAGGTCGCGAGCATTTCAGGGCCTAGAGGCTCAGAGAACAATGGTCCGGAGGAGGCGGCGCTGCGGCGAGAGCACCCCCATCAGCTGCCCTCCTCCCCGAGCCCCGAGCCCCTGTTAGGAGACAACGCCCGCCCAACGTCCCTTCCGTCCGTGCCGCCGCCTCGAGTCTTTACTTCTGGTGGCCCCAGCTCCGAGCAAGCCCAGGGACCCATTGAGCATCTCCCTGCAAACTCCCTCTTGGAAGTGGGGTGGGGTGGAGTGGGCGGCAGATGCGCCGAAATCGGGGAGACGGGGGGGGGCACGAGGTTGGGGGCCGAGCTCGCCCGTGGCCCCAGTCCCCTGTCCCCGTCCTGGGGTCG